TGTGTTACAGTTGTAACAAGCTGGCAAGTTCTTGGCCCTTAGTTCTTAGATGCCATTGATAATATCTTGAGCATCAGGACGCTGCCGTGGAGACCTCAGCATTGCAGTAGTAGCTGTGGGAGATGTCTGTGCACCTTCCTGCTCATGGTCTGTCCTCTGCGTAGGTCTGTCAGTACCGTTCATCCCTCTACTCCGAAGTGGACAGCCATTTCCGAATGATCCACGAGGACACTCGGCACCTGCTCTGCCCTTACTGTCTCAAGGTCTTTAAGAATGGCAATGCCTTCCAGCAGCATTTCATGAGGCATCAGGTACTGCGACGCAGCCTGGGCGCGCGCGGCCGCTTCTCGCTGCTGAAGCTGCTTCACTTTCCCCAAAGCCTGGGTGGATTTTTATGAACACAGTTAAACATGTGCTGGGGGAAGGGGGCAGCTTGGCTGAAAGAAGGTTTTACATAAATGCCGTATTCACTCCATAACAAATGCAATTTCCATGCTCTCCTTCCAGACTTTTCACAGGGATTGGGCTAAAGAAAGGAAGCATTGCCCCTTCCCCCACCTCCGCTGGGGAGTAGCACAGATTATTGTCACTTAGCACAAAAACAACATGTTTTGCTGGACTGTGTTCACTTCATGTGATGATTAACCAATAGTGGGCTCTGTGTTCCTTTGGGATTTAAAATTTTAATCTCCAGAAAATAACTTATGCTGCGTGCACACAAATAAATGCATTTTTGTAGCTCAGCAGTCTGTTTCCATGTATGTTGCCTGTACGGACAACATATTTTGTGTGGGTGCTGCTGAAGGCTTTTAAGACACAGACATGGAGCACTCCTAACAAGTGCCACTTTGCCCTGAAAGTCCTTCAGTGACTTCCAGAAGAAACTTCTGGGTTGCTGCCCCACACGCTGCTCTCCTTGTTTGCCTTCCTTGGGCTTAAACGGGCAGGACTTGGTCCAGGGACCTTCTTGGCCTTGGTGTCTCTGCAGGGCGAATGAAGAAGCCAGGGGGATGTGGTGGTGGGAGCACATTCCCCACTGGAAGGGCCACGGGCTAGTGGTGTAACTTTGTACTTGCTTTCAGTTATTTTTCTGATGGTTATGAAGCTGCGATGCATTTATTTTCAAGAGGGGAGAGTGGTTTGGTTTTGTTTTTTAACACCCTCTCCCAACCTGTTTTGTTGCGAGTTCTGTCTTTCTAAAATGAGCTCTGTTTCGTTTGCTTTAGAAGAAGAGCGTTTATCACTGCAACAAGTGCAGGCTGCAGTTCCTATTTGCCAAGGACAAAATCGAACACAAGCTGCAGCACCACAAAACGTTCCGAAAGCCCAAGCAGCTAGAAGGGTTGAAACCTGGAACCAAGGTGAGAAATCCCAAGACAACAGTGATCCTCCTCAGCTTCCTTGGGGAATATCTGCCTCTGTATCCATGTGTATCCACTAAAACTTCTAGCAGCTTTTACTGCTGCAAACCCAATTGCAGCATTTGCATCATTTAAAATCCATAATCATTGGGACAAGGTGACACTTTGTTTACTGCCCTTGTGGTTTATATTTAGTTCGTTGGTCTCTTCATGGAAATGATGAGCCAGGGAGCCTGGAGCTGAAAGTGGTACATGGGGGAGATTTAAACTCCCTGAAGTAGGATATCTACAAGTGAAGGCATCTGAACTAGCTAGTTTGACTTTCTCTAGTCATTAGGGGAAAAAAAGGACACTTTGGGGCTCAGGTTATGTCTTGTACAGCCCTTGGAGATGATGAACTGGGGGCTGAGCCTCTTGGTGACCGTTTCAGGGGAGGAGGCTGAGTGGGTGGATGGGTTTTCCCTTGTGCTGAGAGCTCTTGTCCGTGTCTGCTCGTTGCAGGTTACAATCAGGGCGTCGAGGGGACAGCCACGGTCAGTGCCACTATCCAACGACATGGCCCAGGGCACGGGGCAGGAGGCTGCTCCGCTGGCGTCTTCGACAGATCCCCAGCCCATCTTCCTGTACCCACCCGTGCAGAGGAACGTGCAGAAGAGAGCGGTCAAGAAAATGTCAGAGCTTGTTGCTAAGTTCAAAATTTTAATTGTTTAGAAAATGCAATTTGTTCTCTTTCTGCCTCCTTCCCATCCTTTCCTCTGTCTCTCTGTACCTCTCTCCTTTTATTTATTTATTTTGTATTTTTAATGTCACAGTGCTGAGGAATTTGCTCCTTGGCTCTCGACAAGTTCACCAGTTAACCAAGAAATCCTTTTGTCAGGAGAATTTAACTTGACACAAAACCAGGATTAAATCATGTTATGAAAACCCTCGAGGTGAAATTCTGAAATATAGTATACAGAGCATTTTTATAGGAAGAATGGAATCTGCTTAAGGGTTTTCTGCCTGCTGTGTGTTTCAGCACCTTGTCTTAATCTTTCTTTAATCACAGTCCAGAGGCCATTCTTACACTTAAATCAAGTATTCCTGGCTACAAAGTGGGGAATGTTAAGTCTGACACTGACTGTTTTAGGTAGATAGGGTTGAAGATGGGACCAGTTCAGCTGCAGACTCTTCTGGGAGCTTTTAGGTGGTGCTAAATTCTTGTCTGTGCACTAATGATGGTGGCAGCTGAGAAGATGCCCCTGATGGCAATGTCCCCTCTTGTTCAGCCCCTGATGGCAATGTCCCCTCTTGTCTCCAGGAGCGTCCTGGGGAGGCAGACCTGCCTGGAGTGCAGCTTCGAAATTCCCGACTTCCCAAACCACTTTCCCACCTACGTCCACTGCTCGCTGTGTCGTTACAGCACTTGCTGCTCCAGAGCCTACGCCAACCACATGATCAAGTACGTCGCAAAAATGTTTCTTTGGACACTCCAGTAGAAATTCCTCCTTTTTTGAACGGGGTGGTATCCCTATGTCCTGCCCTACAGAAAAAGGGGTATCATGAAACTCCAGCTGTCTGCAAGGGGCTTCCTGCAAGTAAGACTCTCCCTAGACACGTGGCATTTTTACCAGCAGGTGACAACTTCCAAAGGGGTTTAGGAAAACAGTGCAAGAGCTGCAAGCCTCGCTGCTGCTGTTGTAGCAGCTAGGGATGCACATGCCTCATGCTGCAGCTGAGGACTGGCTCTTCCAGTGCCTCCAGGATCTTGCAGAGTTTTCCTCTTGGATTAAAACCAATTCCGCCAGCCTTTTTACAAGCCTGTGGTCTATACAGGGCCACGTGTAGAACAGGGTGGCAAAAGAGCTGCTTCAAAATCTGGGCATTTTGAATCCATAGCAAGTTGTTCCATTTGGATACAGGTCTTTCACTTCCTTGAAAGCAAAACTGGCAAACAATATTAAAACAGGGATTGGGATTATCTGAGTGGATGTGCTGTATTTTGCATGTGTTTATATCTTTTTAAATATGCAGACTAAATCTGACATTTATCCTTTTTTTTTTTGTCTTGTCTTGTCTTGTCTTGCAGCAATCATGTTCCTCGGAAGAGTCCTAAATACTTGGCTTTGTTTAAAAACTATACTGCCTGGTAATGGAAAACTTGTCATCTTAGTTAGCTGGGAAATCTAATGTCTAGTGTACATGCCTGGTAATGGAAAACTTGTCATCTTAATTACCTGGGAATCTAATGTGCATTTTTTTCCAAATCTCATGATTTGCTTCTTAAGAATATGCTCTTTGATTTTTCAACATATATTGAATTAAGAGCAATGTATTACCTGAGATTCCATTGCCTTCATGTGGGAGTTTGTTGCTTAAGGGAAGGGGCACTGCCTGTATACACTGGAGGGTGAATTTTTTCTGGTTGTTGGTGGGGGATATACATATTTTCCTATATGATACTTACGCTAAACTCTCTTCTTTCTTCTCTTTTCCAGCGGTGTGAAGCTGTCCTGCTCCTCCTGCCTCTTTGTGACATCGGAAGGTGACGCAATGGCAAAACACCTGGTCTTCAATCCGTCGCATGAGTTTAGTAACATTATTTTCCGAGGTAGGAGTTTGAAAAGGAGAAGAAAAATACGCAATAATCTGAAATCTAGGATTAGGGCAGGACATAATACATCCATTCATAGACACAAAATCAAATACTTTAAAGTGAAGCATTTGGCTGGGAGATTGCTGAACACTGAGTGTTATAAAACATAGTGCTATGGGTGTTCTGTAAGTGCCTGAATGTGTCTTAATTGTTATGGAGATTAGAGAGTTTAGCTCTAAATGACACTAGCTCTGGAGTTCAGCGTCACTAGTAACTACAGTCCCCTGAGATCTTCCCAGGGACAGACAATGTAGAGGTGTCAGGGAGCTCCTCTGTTCTGCTGAGACATCATTGTACCCCCATGACACCAAGGGGCCTTTGGAAAATGGCCTAAATGGGACATTCCAGCCCTTCTTGTGAGTTATGGCCCTTTGCCAACCTCTGGGGCACGGCCAGGCGTGAGCTTTCCTACCTGGACTCTGTGATTCCAAAGCACGGGGAGTTTTGCTGCTTGGCTCTGCTCATTGCTGCTTAGCGCTGCTCTGCCCTGCTGAGTTTTCTGTGCTAGTTGCAGATTTGGCTTCACTGAAGTGCAGGGTCCTCTGTGGAAGGCGGTGGGGTTGGAGCGGGCGGATGAATATCCATTATTTTTGCAGCATATTGGGATACTTTGCAGAACAGGCAATATAGAGATACTGATGCCCATCTCTCTAAGATGACTTTTTTTCTTTGTTTGTGCTTTTTGTTTGTTTGCTAAGCTCCCAATCTCTCTCTTTCTCTTTCTCTCTCTCTTTTTTTTTTTTCTCTCTCCTTTCTCTTTAACAGGGCCTACTTGGATTTCACATTCCAGGTAAACTATTTGTAAACGTTGGTCTGCCATCACCTATTTACTTTTTTTATTTTTTCTCCCCCGTTTTGTCGCCTGGGTTTATTCAAGCTGCTTCTGTTCTCCCTCTCTTTAAGGCACGCCCAGCCCCAGGACAAAAGCACCAGGAACCCCTGTCCCACCTTCTCCCCCAGCAAAGCTGCTACGGCCAAGACCAAGTCCACGTTGGCTGCCAAGGACGACCCGGAGCCCGAGGTGGCTCCGGCTGCCTCCGCCGGGCCGCTGGCCTGCCCGGAGGAGGAGGAGGGCTTGGATATCGCCGCCCCGGAGGACGAGCAGGGCCGGGAGCCGGGG